CACACACACACACACACACACACACACACACACACACACACACACACACCCCAGGGTAAGAAGCATCCATTAGAGTATCCCTCTGTTCCTGCCCACATACTTAATGCTAGGCCAGTCAAGTTTATTCCTAGCCTCTAGAGGACTTTTATTTTTTAGTAGTCCTTATTTTAATTGCATTAGACTAATGTGCAGACCACCGGGTTTAATACGCAGTGTGAACAGCACAGCAATGATGTCTAGTGCATCATTTCTTCCTGTTTATTTTTTATTCAGACAACAGAGGCTGAGATGAGACAGGTTAGTGTCAGGAGTGGGATTGTGGATGGATCCTTTCTGAGCCCTGGGGGTGCAGTAGTGTGCAGGTGGGAAGCTGCTGAGTCTGTGAAGTAAGCTGGTCTCCTTAGTGTCCACTAAGCCTGATTGTAGACTAAATAGCCAGTGGGCCAGCTGGAGGAAGATTGGGTGGGAGTGGGTGGATTGCTGCACTCTGCAAAGCAGATGCAGGACTACAGGAAGATATCTTAGCATCCTGAGCCCCAGACCCAGATAATCAGGCACCTTTGGACCAAATCCTTGCCTAAACCTGTATTTCAAGCTACAGTTAACTGGAAAGCTGAAATAGGAGCTTGGTCCCTTGTCCATGCTAAGTGCCTTCTGGGTATCCCACTTCTTGGAGGGCACAGTGACATTTAGAATTTAGCAAAGGGTAACCCTAGCTCATTGCTTCTTGTTTTGAGCTTGAGTCTGCAGAGCTGCCTCCCTTAGCTCACCATGAAGCTAGGCAAGAAAAGGCTCTTAGGCTTCTCTGCCAAGATTGTGTGTTAGCTAGACCTTAGCTCCAGGGCAGGACTGCATTTGGGGCTACTCTCAGGAGACACATGGTAGTGTCAGTGAGCACCTGGCTGCTCCATCAGGGTAGAAGACAGCTGGCATCTACTATGCAGAGGCCAGGGGTGCTGTGAACTCCCACAATGCAAGGCAGTATCCACCATAGAGAACCATTACCCTCCCACTGTCAATGGGCCATAGAGCACTGCCACCAAGCAATGTGGCACCTGTGCCAAATGCACAGCTTCATGGACTGGGCACTCTGATCAGACTCCTAAGGATTGTCCAGCCTCAGACTCAGGCATTCAAGACATGGTACTAGACCTGCCCTAGACTTGTCCTCCATGTAATAGCAGCAAAGAGGTACTGATAAAGCCAGGGCAGCCCTGGCTAGTCATGTAGTGTAGTAGGGACTCTTCTGGAGAAAGTCCAAGTGCTAGGTGACCCCAAGCATATCTGGGGTGATAGAACTGCCACAAAGAAAACAGCACACTCATTCTTATCTTCTTAGCAGAGCTCTCTGCCAGCCAGGGTCTCTAGACTGTTCTTTCCTTAGCCCTGGTTCTCACGAGAAGCTCACTCCTGGTGAAAGACCGCCTAGAGAAACACACCCCAGCCTGATTAACTGACCCTAACACATGGATCCTCATCCAGGGGTAGACTTCTTCCGTTAGCACAGCCCAGCAGGTACAGTTGGTGACAAGAGCCACGTCTGGATATCCTGTGCCATTTCCCATGCCCGCCCAGCCCGGACGGAAACCTTGCGTCACGTGTCATTATGGAAGGAATTTATTGTTCCAGAACTGAAGTTGCTCACAGTTATTTGACAGGGGTTACACCAGATGGGGCTTGTCCATTTTTGTGATGTCTGCGAATCCGCATGTGTCCAAAGTACAAAAGAGGAAGGCTAACGAGAGGTATTGCTTTCAGTATCCTGACACCGTAGATATGCCCCTTCCCACTTGTACTGCGTGGCTTTGCTGTTGTTACAGGTGTTTGATTTTGTCCTATGTATAGAAATCCCAGCTGTGGTGGTTGAATGTAATAGAAGCATTAAAATCTGTACATGAGGGGAAGAGCAAAGGCATGCATGAAACCTGCCCCCAGCCCCTCCTGCTGCTATGCCGGGCACCTTGGGCCAGCTGGGAGGGACTGGCTCAGCCAGACAGAACGGAACACAGACAAAAGCTGGAGATGAGGGAAGTGAGGTGGGCTTTGGTGGGCAGCAGGCAGTGGTGTGGGCCCCTTGCCCTCGCCACCTCCAAGAGGAACCCACTGCAGAGCACTCTGCTAACTCCATTTCTGGCTTTGATTTTTTTTTAAAACTTTTAAAATTTTAATTTAAAAAAAAAAAAAAACAACCCTAGGTACCGCTGCCATCCTGTGTGTGAGTAGGGTGCCAGCTCAGGGCCTTCTACCCCTTCTCAATCAGACACCAAACCAAGATCACCCTCAGCCTGGTGCAGCAGAGAAGTACTGGGCAGTGCTTCTGGGCAGCAGGCACAGCTGACCAGTGCAGACTGACGCCCTATACCCTGAGCCCTCGTGTGGAACTGGAGCTGCTGCTAAGTAGTAATAAAACAACCCGGGACAGAGCTGACCACATCGTTCTTTAAATATATATATATATATATATGTATATGTGTATAGAAATAGCCAAGAGCGAGGAGCCGACACAAACTCTAGCTCTGCCCCAGCGGCCCCACCCCACACCCTTTTCCAAAAACAACCAAGAAAAGAAAGTTTATAAAAATATCTTGCAGGAATTCTTTTAAAGTTTACAGTAGCTTGCCAGTGCTGCATCCACTGGCTGGCTCCCCACTGTCCCCAGCCCCACAACGGCTCTGTCCTCAGAGGGAACCTGGGCTCTGGACCCACCCTGCCCAAGTCAGAAAGACATAACAAACAGACAGACAGATGGCAGGGGGGCGCTGCTGCTACTCCCCCCTTCCCTGAACAGAGAACAGAGACATAAAGAAACTCAATAAATTAAAACAGCAAATAAATAATACTGGTCTCAGCCCAGCTCCCTGGCAGCGCTGGAGCACCCAGGTCTTTTATCTCCACTTCAGCCCATGAGACCCACCACAGCTGGAGCTCTGCAGCCTGGCAAGATGGAGCAATGGATGCAGATGAGAAGAGGTGGCCCTGGTGAGGCCAACGTGTGGAAAAGGTGAGGTGAGTGGCCCAGGAGGCCTCCAAATGCGGCGTGGAGGACAATCCATTCCCACTGCTTCACCCACCATGGTCCCCTACCCTGGAAGATGGTGGACAGGTTGTCCCTGCTGAGGATCTGGTCACTGGGAATCCAGGGTGGCTGAGCTAGAAGAGGAATCCCCTGGGCGGCAGGCCCTCCTCCCTTGGGCCATGCGGAGCTGCCAGGGAACAGGCAGAGGTGGTGGACAGTGGGCTAGCCTCTCTGCACAGCAGCAGCAGCAGCAGGAGGAGGAGGAGGAGGGTGGTCCGCAGCAGCTGCCTTCGGTCAGCCAGTGTCCACACGCAGCACAGAGGATGGCCTCGTGGAGGTGACATGTTAACTTTTCGGGATAATTCCTGGTATCAGAGCGGAAACAAGCGATGCTGTCAGAGACAGGCAGAGACAGAGACCGCAAGAGAGAAAAGAGAGCAAGCCCAGCAGCCCAGCCTGCGGGCCGCGCCCTGGCCACTCTCCTTTCCTCCCAGGCTTGAGACAAGGTCTGGGCAGGCAGGTGGGGCCTGGTCCACACAGGACGGCAGAAGGCCACAGTCAGTGCTGTGTTGTGCTGTGCTGTGCTGTGCTGTGCTGGGGAGGGACTAGTGTCTAAGGCTGCTCACGGCGGGCGGCGGGCGGCCCCATCTTGGCCATGTCCTTGCCCATCGGGTACTCGGTGTCCCCTCCAGGGCCAGCGGCCGCGGAGTCACCCAGGGGGCCGTGGGCACTCCGCTTGGCGGGTGTGCTGGGGGCCTGGGCCGCCTGCCCGTTCTTCTCGTCTGAAAAAAGTTGTTTAATTACGTCAAAGAAGTTACTCAATGGGGTGCCTGGGTACACAGAACAGAAGACAAAAAGAGAGAAAAGAAAAAAAGGGGGGCAAGGGGAGAGAGGGAGAAAAGGAGAGAAAGAACAAACAAATGAACGAAGGAGCCTTGACAAGAAAAAGAAAAACCCAACGAGATGAAGTCAGATGGAATGGCAGAGCAAGGACAGGCAGGTAGCAAGCAGGGTGGGCAGGCGGCCAGTGGGGTCCCTAGTGCCAGGAGCAATGCAGTGGGAGGGGCTGCTGCTGTGGGATAGACCCTCGGACCTCCATACTTACAAAGTGGTATGGGACCTGAGGGCTGCTTCTGAGAACTGGGGCCCAGGACAGGTAGTGAGTTTCCTCCCTCACCCAGTGTGGCCCCAAAAGTCCTGGGCCTCCCTTCCCAAATGTCAGGGTCACATGAGCTGGCCAACCCGAGGTGTAGAAAGAGCAATAGAAAGATGAGGCCTGAGTTGGACCCTGGGGTTGGCTGCTGCTTTATAGGTAATGATTGCTCTTGGAAAGGGTGGCCAGAGCCGGTGACCAGCAGCATACAGGGAGACCCCTGCCCTGGCTAGCACAGACAGTTCAGCAGCAGACAGGATTAATGGTGGGTAGACAGGCAGGGAGCTGGGAACAGGCAGCCACAGCTGGATTTCTGGTCCCAGAGGGCAGAAGTAATGGGTAACCCTCCACCCTCCTGGGCCTGTGCTTACTACCCAGCTAGGCCAATTGGATAGTTCAGTTCCATTCCCTCACCTGACCTCAGTCTAAGCCCAGTGCTGCATACCTCTCCTCTTCTGACTGGCATGGTCTATAGACAGGTGTCCACCTTGCCCTCCAGGGCAGTGCTACATGTAGAACTTTTATTGGCTTCGAGCACAAGGACCTTTTCCTGCTCTGAGAGTTTTAGTCCTTCCTCTACCTATCTTGACTGTAGAAATGGGGAGCAGGAAGTGAGTGGTTAAGACTACTCTTGACAGAAGATGGGGCCCAGGGGTGGTGGGTAGTCCAATGCCTGTGCATACACAGGGGACCCAGGACAGCCCAGGGACAGTGGGATAGCACTGGTCAGGGTAGGCTGTGGGGGCACACAGTGGAGGTGGCAGGCTAGGGGCCAAGTGAGCATGAGGAGTTCTTACCACATTTGGAAAGCCGCCCCGTCATCACTTCCATACAGTTAGTGGTGTCTGGAGCACAGAATGGAAAGAGGGAGGGAGAGAGTGAACAGGCTGCCCACCTGCTACCTGGGGATAGCTGGCAACCTGTAGCCAGCCAGGATGGGAAGGGGGCAGGGTCCTGAGAAGGCTGGATCCAGGAGTGGACAGAGTCCAGAGGGGTTGGAGCTCATATAGAGAAGGTCTAGGAGTAGGCAGGGCCCAAGAATATTAACTGGCTGGAAAAGAGGAGCTGAGTTTGTAGAGTCACAGGCAGGCCCAGGGAAGTTAGAGTTTGGAAGGGGCAGAGCTGAGAGCTAGGGCCTAGGTCAGAAGAAGCCTATGACTACAGCTGGGTGAGAGCAAGGTAGATAGTGGAAGGTCACCCTCCAATAGCCAAAGCCAGAAGCCTGGATTGACCTTTTTTCCTGGTAGGCCTGTCTTCCCTGGGCTGGACAAACTCTTGCTTTGGCATAGTTTAACAGGCCACCTCTACCGTGCCTGCACCTCATTACCCACTGACTTCCAAACACCCGTCTCTCCCACTATGCTGGGCCTGCTGGCATCAGGAGACCTGGGTGGGGCATGTCCGATGGGCCTACTCATTGGAGGCTCCCAGCCTCCTCTCCCTGAGTAGGATCTCTGTTTGGATGGCCTCAGGTATCCTGGAAGTCCATACTTCTGCCTACCTCCAGCAGGGTCTTTGGAGCCAAGCTCATTGGACAAGGGCCCAGGACACAAGGACACAATGGGAGGGGATCAGGGGGACAGGCCAAGATCCAAGAATGGGTGGATGGATGCCCAACAGTCTGAAGGGTAGGCTCCAGCACTGACAGGGTTGACTGAGTAGAACTGGTGGGTGGATCCTGTGTACAGGCCACACCCACCATATTCCCTGCAACACCTGGAACATGGCACTGGGTGGAGGGTGTGATAGACCAATTCATAGGATAGGGCATGGAGAGCTGTCCAATATTTAGGAGTATAGGAGGGCTGCAATGTTTGATTGGTCACCATGAGCAGAACCCCAGCAGTGTGCTAGAGACCTTGGCTTTACTTGCATTAGTAGTCCTGGCCTGCCTCTGCCTCTGCCTGTAATTCCTTGTCCTCAGTTTTCCACTATTGCTGCTATTCCCCATCCTGTTTTCCTCTTCCCAAGTTGGAGGCCTAAAGCCCCAGAAAGATAAGGTTGACTGAAGTACAGTGCCCCCAGGGGCACCTGGCCCTGCTTGTTTGATTTCTTCCAAGGAGTGTAGGGTAGCTAAATGAGCCCAGGGCTGCTGAGAGCTCCAGCCCCACCTGCCAGGGGATGATGAGGCCCATGGTGGGAGCACATCTACAGGCAATGAAATGAGGATGGAATGGGATGAGGAACAGGAGGGACGCACCTACATACACACAAGTGACCCTAACAGCCCCAGCTGTGGAGACAGTATGTTGGGAATAGGGCTTAAAGAAGCTGGCCCTGAGCCACATCCCATCTCTTCTAGGCTTCTCAAGTCCCATGCCATATACGATCAGCCTGTCCCATTGCTACATAGACTATATCCTAGCTGTTACTCTGACATATGGATCCCACGTGTGTACCTATGCATAGGGCCAGACACACAGGTACTGCTTCCTCCCATAAATACCAGCAGCCCAGGTGCCTTTCTTGAGCACCCTACTGGGACTAGAGCCTCAGACCCCATCCTGCTTAAGGCAGAGCTTTGGTGGTCAGTGGCATTGAGGAAGGGAGCCCCAGCCCTTGTAGGATGCTACAAGGGGAGCCCCAAGGATCAGGGCCTTGGGCCCTACTCCCAGAGCCTGCTTAGGCTGCCCTCATGTCTAGCTGCCTAGGTGCTGACCCTATAGGCCTGTCTGGAGCCAGGCCAGAGAAGTGGGCACAGGGTGCCCCTCTTAGGACAAGACTGGCTCTTGCAGGAGGCCCTGCCCGCAGCCCCTCCCCTCCCCGGCAGCAGGCCGGACACCTTACCTGCCAGCGTCAGAGGCTACTCTCGTAGCTGGTGGCCACCTTCTGGCCCTTAAGCCCAGCACCCCAGCTTAGTCCTGGCGCTGGCGGGGGTGGTTCTACGGTGGACAAGAGGCGCCTTTCAGTGTGATGCAGCCCACCATGCCCGGGGAGGGGCCCTGCTCCCTGAGGGGTGCAGCACTGCTCAGGGCAGGGAGGTGGGCATCCGTCAGAGTAGGAGACCATGTCAGCTCTCATACCTCCCATCCAAGCAGCACTAGCCATAGGCGCTGTGCTGAGCCCCCGCCTCACCTGACAGGTGCTGGGCTGAGGGCTGTTCATGCGTGCTCAGCAGCTGGGCCTGGATGGTCTCCACCACCCTCTTGAAGCGGCGACTGGGGCCTGGGGGAAGACTGGCTGTCAGGACACTGGAAGCACCAGTGAGAGTGAAACACAGCTACAAAGTTGGCTGGCTTACCTGAGAGTAAAGTGAATGTGACTGAGTAGATGCCATTCTCCTTCTGGGCCTCTCCACCCTCAGTGTAGGTGATGTCCACCTGGAACTTGACCGGTTTCTGGAACACTGCTGGGCCCCCTGTGGCCTTGTATTCAGCCCTGAAGCTCGTCTGGGAAATAACGCTGTGGCTGAGGCTGGGGATCTGTAGTGTGTACAGGTTGGACGTGAGAGCAGCCTACCAGAAGGCCCACTAGCCCACTCCTGGCTTTCTGCAGAGGTGGCATCAGAAGTGCCAGCACTATGTGGGCACCAGACACAAACCCAGCCCCCCAAACCATCTCCAGTCGTAAAAACCAAGCATAACACAGAAAACTAACAGCTAGCAAGAAACTTACTTCAGAGCCTCCTTTGCTCAGCCAGCCAGGGTACACGCTAGAAAAACCCTAAACTGGAAAGGGCTAGATGGCCTTACAATCCTGAGTCAGGGGCAGGAATGAAGGAGCATCACAGCAGTGACCAGGGAAGCTATGAGGTGTGTGAATTCATAGCACTGAACTCTGGTCACAGTGACGTGACAGTAGCAAGAGCAAAACGAAAACAGATATAGATAGGGTCACCCCAGCTTCCAGGACTAGCCAGCATGGAGAAGTAGAGGGGAGCCCCAGGCTGATCTGGTAACCTAGGGGCCTTGTGAAGGGATGGATTCGATGGGGGTGAGGAGACAGGCTCACATCAAAGGGTAAGAATGCTAAGGAGACCCAGAGTCTGGCCAATCTCAAATACAACCACTCTATAAGAAGTGGCCTTCCCTGGCCTGAAGCTTCTAACAGACATTCTCAGCTGTCCCCAGGGCACCAAGGAAATCCTTCAGCTAGAAAACTTGAAGGACTCCTAGACAGAATGTCTAATGAGGCAACAGCACCTTAGAGCAGGTACCTTCAAATAAATACTCATGAGAGAGATGATGAAAAGTCAGCAGACTGAGGCCCTGGGGTGGGAGGCACATGCTAAGCAAAGTCCCCGAGAGGCCTGGCCCGGCATAAGGCAATCCTACACAGGAGTCACAAGGGACAGGGTCAATTCTAAGAGTACTTTGGGAGTTTGTATCCTGGCTGTAAAGTGTCATCTCCAGTCTTTATGTGCCTTTCTGCTTCTCAGGACCCAGAGATGCCTCCATACTCTGAGAACCCCAGCCTCTACAGGCAAGCTGGGGGCCACAGGAAGTCAAAAATTTCAAATAAAGAAGTAGCATTGGAAATAGACTCTGGGCTTCAAGCCGTTAAGTGGGTGTTATCAGAACCCTCAGAGTCACAGCCTCTTCTTAATTCATGTGGCCACCTGTGTTTCACCCTCAGTCTCCGCGACGTTTCACCTAGAAACCAGAACACCCCAGCCATAGGCAGCTCCCCACTCCCAGAGGTGGTGTGCAGCTCCCAGCAGGATGAAGGCCTAGGTAGGCAGTGGTGGTCCAGGCAGAAGAACAAAAGGATGGGTTAGGTGTACACAGTTTGTGTGAATAAGAGGTCCTATAGTCTGCCTGGAGGCTGGGCTCATGGATGTGAGTGTCCACCTGGCTCTGCCATGGCCTCACCGACAGGAAGGCATGAACGATGTCAGCCTTGATGGAGCTCAGGGGCTTGTCCTTGATCACCACAAAGATCTGCTCTTCCTTCTCCAGGTTGATGAAGTTCCCGAACCACGATTTCTTGGCCAGCCTAGACAGAGCAGAGGCTGTCATGATGGGAATATGATGCCTGGTCCACTTCTGTAACCTCTATAGGAGTTGAGACTGTAGAGCCCTTACTACAGAGCAGTGTTCCCACATCCCAGGCCAGCCATGCGGCCTTTATGCTAACCTGACCACATATACTCCCCTAACTCCACAATTCGACACTAAGGGCAATCCCCACCTCTAAACTTGCCCCACAAACAAGATAAAACCTAACCAAACTCCTCTTATTGTAACAATAAACCAAAAGGCTTAACCCTAACCAAACCTCTCTAACCATAACCCCTAACCTTACCACAACATCCATAAACCTATACCTGTATCCCCAGTATGAACCCCATGTCACTAACCCATACCCCATGTCTGTAACATGAACAGCTTATCCCAACTTTTACCCTACAAACCTAATCCCAATCCTATGTCCTTAACAATAAATTTCACTCCACCGTATACCCAACTGCAAGTCCTTGACTCCCACAAGATGTCTGAGTGGCACTTGCTAGACAGTCCACTGTGTAGGACAGGGGACAGGAGAGAGTATCTAAGTCTCGGCCTCTATTTCAGTCCCTACATTTGGGGAAGCTCACTCTACACCTTCCTGGAAGAAATATTCCCAGAGCCCTAGAAGCTGATGCATGCTACAGAGTCTGGTGGGGCTCTCTGATATTAAGTAAAGATTATGTGGCTCCATACCTTAGCTTGTAAGATCCCTGATAGACCCTAAGGGTCAGTTAGGAAGGGCCTGCCCAGAGCTCCAACAGCCACAGCCTCATCCAGGTCTGGCACACCCTGCCCACCCAACTACAGGTCTAGTTTTCTTCCCATGAAAGTCTGACATCATGCTTGGTCACTACTCAGGCTGCCCAGCTGGCCTCAGCTGTCTGGCCAGGTTCCACCAGTATAACTCCAGTTCTACTGCAACACGATCACTGCATATACCATCTCCTGAGTTGTGGATACTTCACTCATAAGTATAATCTTCTGCTAGTCCAAGGGGATAGAAGGCAGATATCAAGCTTCCCAGCCTCACATGTGGGGTCCCATCCATTCCCTTCTAGACTTATACATAGCTGGAGTTGTTGCCACTTTTGCTGACAGGATTCCCAAATAGCTGCAGATACCCCAGCCCAGCCCATCTACAGGACTAGTTTTCTTCCCACGATAGCTTAGCAATTGGAAGAGATTCTTTCCTAGCCCTAGGGACCACAAAGCAGAAATGCCCAGTGAAGTCATTGCTAGATGTCTGTTCCAGAGACCCTAAGGGAGGCTAAGTGGCAGGCTGTCTCATGGAAACTCTTAGTCAACATGGCCAGGCAGACTCCTAGCTGCTTGGTATAAGTACAGTGGGCCACAGCCAGCCCCTCAGTCAGATGCACCCATGTACCAGAGACTCACGCTAGAAACTGAGAGAAGCAGGAACAGCAGCCACAGTGGTGTTCAGGGATAGGGCTGGCATGTGGCCAGCATGAATGAGAGTATCTGCTGGGCAGCATGAAGTCACTGTTAATCTAGGCTATATGAAGGGTTTCCTGGTTGTGACTTCCCCCTTCTTATTCATTTCTGGGATGGTTCTTTTGCCTCTGTGGCAGACAGACCCCAGCCCTTCTGTGTTCTTGTCAGCTCTGTCCAGTGCTGTGTGTACCGCCCCCTGGTATAGGCCCTTGTCCCACCTGTACCCAAAGCCTATGCCTGGACCTGGAGACCAGCAGTGTTCAGGATATTTCAAATCAGACAACTGGTTCTAGAAAACAGAGTTTCTGGCTGAAAATCACAAGTGTAAGCTTGGCTGGTATGGCATGTGAGACATGGCCAAATCTGAAAGAAGCTGGATGATCAGAGGAGATTGTGTGGTGCATGGTAACATAGCCCATGCTAGAGCTCTGGTACCCATATTGCCGGGCCCTAGTAGTAGCCTGGGCACACAGAATTCTTGGTGTGAGTCATAAAGGTGCATGAGAGAAGGGCCTAAGTCAGTAGACAAAAAATGTTCAGCTTGATGGGCCCCAGCTAACCAGCTGAAGGCACTAGAGAGAAAGGAGGGTGGTGAACTCTATAGACTGCTATAGTTCCCATGGCTTCTAGCCAGCTGGCCTGACAAAATGGACAAGAAAGGGAGCCAGTTCCTCAGATACCTCTCCTTGCCTGTTTATGGTTCTGTGAAGGTTATGGCCAGTGAGAGGCTCATGACAGAAGATGAGGGTGCAAAGCTTTCCTGGGCCAGTATGCAGGGCTTGGGGAGTAGTCTTGATCAAGGAGGAGGTGGTGGAAGCCAAAGGTCTTTCTCAAGCTATGGTCACAAATTTCCTACTTTTCTAAAATATATAAATAGATCTCCAACCCCTTTTAACAGAGCAACATAAAGACCTAACCTAATCAAAAATGGTCCTGTGCCCCCAGAGCCTTAGGGCAGCTAATGGTGAGCTTAGGCCTCTGACCTCCACCTGGACATAAAGCACAGCAAGTACCTCTGCTACTGTCAGTTGCTAGCACAGAGCAAGCAACTGCTCACAGGTCCTTACTGAATGCTACCAATCCAGCTGAGGCCTTTCCTCTTGTCTGGCCTCACAGCTACAATGTGTGTGAAGTCGCACAGCTACAATGATGTAATGGTCTTTGCCAGGGCTTTCCCCTAACCCCTGCCCCAGTCATATATTTTCCTACTTTCACTCTAGTAGCTACCAAGGAAGTAACTACTGAAAGGCCACTGTAAAAGATACAGAGAAGCCACAGTATACAGGTACTCAGCATCTGCAGGGTGGGTACACTGGGCCAACCTACACTCCCTTCCCTCCAGCTGAAGGCTAGAGATACTCTGTCTTTTTCAGGCTTCTGCCAATAACCCTGGTGTTCTCCCTGGACCCTGTATCTTATAGCTGTCCTTCCTTCTCAGCACAACCCTGTTTCTCCTCATGTCCAAACCCTTCCTGTCATCCCTTAGACTCCAGGGAAACCCAGAAGACACCCACTTGTCCCCAGCCAATTCTAGAGTCCTCTGAGCAGAGTTAGGACATGTCCCATCACTAGCATTTCTCATGTGGACAGGACCTAAAGTTGATAAAGACTCATGGGCTGGGTCAGGCCCAAGGAGTTCAGGCCAGGGACCAAAAACCCTCAGGTGGTTATTCCCTACTTGATGGCAAAGATCCTAGGTCCCTCTCTCACTAGCCTCAAGCAAAGCCACTTACTCTGGAGAGGATTCTGGGGTCAGGTTGGACATCTCCTCTGGCGTGGGAACTGTGCACAGGAAAGGACAAAGAGTCAAGGTTGGTGAGTGCTGCAGGTCTGAGTCTCAGGACCATGCCTGTTTTGTGTCCCCCCCCCCCATTGTGTTGTCCATGCTCTGGTGCTGAAGCCCCATTGTGTTTTTCCAGGCCCCAGCACAGCCCAAGACCTGTAGGCTTCCTGACTACCCAACAGGCCTTGCTGAACATAGCTGCTGCCTAGAAGATGATAGAAAAGTTCTGGGACAAGAGGGTACAGGCTAGACTGGGAGGCCAGTGCTTGTGGAGAGGCCCACAGATGCCAGCTGTTGGCATGTTCCATCTGAGCAGTGCAAGCCCCCCATGCAGATTCCACCACCTACCCAGCCCCACATCAGTGCTAACCTTGCAGTTTCCGGCGGTGGAAGCGAGGTGAGCCCAGGAAGCTGTTCTTGATGGAGTTGAGTCGTGTCCGCCAGGGCACTCCTCCAACACTAGGGCTGGATGGTGGTGTGGGGTTGGGTGTGCCAGCTGGGCTCTCCTTTGGCGTGTGGACAGGCGTCCCTTTGGGGGTAGGAAGGGGACTACCCCTTGGTGAGGGGTGAGGGGTCACCTGTATGATGGGGACAGATTTGGTGTTTGGTTCAGTCCCAGTTGGCAGGAGCCGGGCAGGGGCCGGCAGGGTGGGTGGCCCAGGGGACAGGGCCAGTGGAGTGCCAAGGCTGGCTCCAGGAGGCTGGGTCTGGGTGCAGGCTGGGAGCGGGTTGGACTTGGTGCCCTGCAGCGGCTTGTCTGTCAGCTTGGCCTTGCACGGCAAGGTCTGAGTCTTGGGGTTGGGCCGCAGAGCGGCCTGTGGAGAGAGGACGTGTCCTGGCCGAGAGGTGCTCCGACAAGCTTCAGGCTCCGAGGAGGTGGCCAGGGGGCAAGCCACATAGGGGAGCTCAGGGGGCAGAGGGGGCAGGACAAACTTCCTAACAGGCTACAGTGATGCAGAGTGACGTCAGGAGGGGTGGCCGCGAAGTGGAGCCCGTCCCCACCCCACCCACATGCACACATAGCAACCAGGATCAGCAATAGCATTCAAGCAGGAAACCCAAGCAGGACCAGAGGGAGGGGACAGACAAGGGGAAGGTTTGCCACAAAAAATAAAAAGTAAAACCAAAACAACAACAAAAAACAAAACAAGAGACATACAAGAAAACAGACAACACAAAACAAAAGAACATGCAGTTAGCCAGAGCCCAGCAGCAGAGCAGCAGCCAGGAGGGTGCCCACAAAGGAGGCCTCTGTGCAAGGCCCTGCACCCCACCCCTGGGCACTCTGATCCCTTTTAATTTCCTGAGGCTAGCCCTGTAACCTAAGGCTTAGGAGGGATAGTCACTCACCCGAGGACTGCTGAGTGGGCTCGTAGAAAGGCCTGAGGAGGCACCACTGATGGATCGAGATCTGGAGAACAAAGCAGAGCGTCTGTCAATTTAGCAGGAGAGGGCTCCTGGCTCCTGTCCCCTAGTTGGCCTTTCTAGTAAGCCTGGGGTCCTGACCCAGCGCTCCAAGGCTTCTACCGTGCCGAGGAAGGTCTCTAGAGGCACAGCTGTGTCCGGGGCCATCCTGCTGACCTTGGCTGTCACCACCCAGTATGTATCTAGGGTCCCTGGGGCTCCTTCACACACAGAGGAGCCACCCACCATCGACCCCAGACAAGGCACAGGAAAAGGTACTAAGGGGCTCTCAACAGAAGTCCACAGACACTGTGGACTGAGATGCAAGGACATGCTATGGGGGACTCCTGTGAACGAGATCCAGTCTCATGCATTCCATGACCCTGGCACCATTTCCTGCCTCTCCAGGGCTGTACTCTCTCCAGTGTTCAGTATATGGTTCACACATGAGTGCTTGCCCAGTCCTTTCATAGCCACAGCTACTTACAAGAGAAGCCCAGGGCCAACCCACAGCCTTCATCTTAACCCACTATTGTCCACTGGGCTGAAGACCTAGCCTGCAAGTAGCTGGGAGCAGTTACTAGCCCTGTGTGTCCATTACGCCATGATGAACAGCTAGCTGCCCTGCAGATCAGAGACCAGGCCTTCCATCCAGCTCACCATGAGAATGGACACAAAAACACAGATTCACCTCTGGCTGTGGGACCTGCCATCTTTGGGGGGAAAAATGGGGGTAGGGTGCAGCCACAGGACAAAAGAGGATGAAAGAACGTTAGACCAGCTTGCACTGCCCTGGCCTGCCCACCACTAACTAGACTATACACAATGGGTTTCTGGTTCCACCTAGGCAAGCTGGCTCCTTGCCAGCTCCTAGAACACCTGTAACCAGAACCCTGTGTCCATGACTTCCAAGTTTCTCCACTGCTAAAGGAAACTGAGGAACAATGGATTCCTGTGGCCAAGGCAGCATGCCTTAGTCAGGGTGGTACCAGGGCTCCCCACTGGAACAAAGGTCCAGGTGTACAGCTAGGAGCCAGTCCCTGAGAAGATGGAGATAGGGATGGAGATACCAGGAGCCAGGAGAGAGGGGACACAGCCACAAGCAGTGAGGCCTAGACTAGACCTGTGATCCCACCAAACCAGACAGGAGCACACTGCTGGGCACAAGGGAAGAAGAAGGGAAGCTGAGACATAAGCATGGAAGCCACATCAACCTCTCCTCTGTCTAGCATGCTGGAACTGAGCTGCAATTTGTCCAAAGTAGGAAAGATGATCCCAGCCCCGAGGCAAGAGGCAAGCAGGAAGGGGCACAAGCAGGTACGGGCAGTATGCAGCTCAACAGGATATGGGCCAGCCAATCAGCAGCACAAGTGGGCAACAGCTGTTGCTGGCCTCCTGCCACCTGCCAGGGGCACTTAGCCACTTCATCTAAACTGGACAGCCATCTGGATAAAAGAGTGGCAGGGGGCGGCAGGCCTGCAACCACAAGACAGGTCTGTGCAGGGTACAGAGTTACCGCCCTGGGCCCATGCAAGCCTTGAGTATGTGGGCCTCTGGCTTGGGCTGGCCATAGGCCTTACCCCAGCAACCCCACCCCTCCTTGCATCCTTATAGCTGCCCAGGCCAGGCTCTTTCCCCTGACCTCCTAGGTAGTTCCATTTCCAGAAAGGAGAGGTGGAAGTATCTGTCAGTAAGCACTGCCTCCAGGCCCGCCTCTGTCTGCCCGGCTCAGGCAGGAGTCCTGCATCTAGGGCTGGGAGGACGAATTGGATGGGCAGGGTGTATACCTGTCTTCTTTGCTGAATTGGGGATGGGCTTCAGCGATATCCAGGCTTTTACTGAACACTGCTTTACTACAGCAGGAACAAAGCGAGAAAAGAGAGTTACTGCCCCGGCCACACGCACGCAGGTCAGCTGCTGGGCCATCTGCTGCCTGGCCACACCAAGCAAGCCCTCCAAGCATGGCCCACCAACCCCAGGCCAGGGTACAGAGATGAAGAGAGAAGAGGGGGACAGAAGCCACAGCACAGCCTGCCCTGGGTGACCTTCCAGGTAGGGAGGTAGCCAAGCTCAGACATGTCTAGACTCACCACCAGCCACAGAATCCCTTGTCCCCACCAGTGGTCCCATCAGAGCTCAGGGTCAAGTGGCAAAACCAGAGCAGAAGCAGGCTAGATGTGCCAGGACAAAGTGCCTTCCAGATTCCCTTGGAGACAGCCACTATCCCACAGATGGGCCCACCTTGCAGTACCTAGGCCTAGAAGCTGTATTAAAAGCCAGGAAGCTCAGAGCTGAGCACTGATCCTTAGCTACCCTTTGGAATTCAAGAGAGGTCAAGGAAAGAAAACCATCTCTTGAGTACGTGGTATATACTAGAGCTACTGGGAGAGTTCTGCTGAGGCGAGACATATCCACAAGAGGCAGAATCCAGGAGAAGGCTTAGGTAAGAACATGGCCAAGAGGGACTCTTGCTGTTCCCACCTTGTTGCCAGAGGCCAAGGGACTGTGAGCCATGGCTTGCTAAAAAGTTAGAAGTTTCTCAAGGAGTGAAATTTTGAGACTAAAACATGAGCTAGCCTGGATCCATTGGGAGGACCTAGTAGGTCTGAAATATCAGCACTCTAAAGTCAAGGCAGAGGAAATGCTATCTTGATGACTACCGAGCCATGACATGGCTCCCAGTTACTGACAAATTCAGGGGCAGACCTAGCTGGCTTTGGCACCGAAGCTCCCAGCAGGAAGAATGGGCAGTGGGTGCTGTGTGCAGAGTACAATACTGACTGCTGGCAAGGCCTGTGGGATCTCCCAGCTCAGGTCTGTTTACAGAGGACCAAGACCCCTGCCCATTAGGTAGCTCTACTCAGCCAGGGCAGGCTTTGCAGGCTCTAAGTGCCCTTCTACTCAGCACTCTCCTGAATTGTACATCTTGCCTACAGTACTGCTACTGGACACCTGGAGATGCCCAAGCACCAGGGATGGACGAGCTTGCTGGGCAGGGGTCTCTGAACAAAGCTGTACCACACCACAGTCCAGCTCAATCCAGATCAGAGACAGCCAAGCACCAGGGAGGGACAAGCCTGATGAGCAAGGGGCTCTGAACACAGCTGTACCATAGCACAGCCCAGCTCAACCAAGAACAGAGCAGCCAGGCACAGCTCAGCCCAGCCTAGTCCAGTCTATCCCACTTCAGTTCAGCCCAGTTTAATTTGGTCCAGTCCAGTCTAGTTCAGTCTTGCTCAAGTCAGCCCAGCCCAGGACAGGCTAGTTTATAAAGTCCAGGCCAGACCAGCTCAGTCCAGGCAAGCTCAGCACAGACCAGTTCATTCCAGTCTAGTGCAGCTAGATAAGTAGAGCTAGCCCAGATAAGACCATCTGGTCCAATTTAATCTCAGACAGTCCAGGCAGACCACACAAGAATAGTTCAGTCTAGCCCAGCCTAGGCTAATCCAGGCCAGCACAGCTCAGTCTAGTCCATTCCAGCTCACCCCAGTCCACTTCAGTTCTGTCCAGCCAGCACAGCTCAGCCCACTACAACTAGTCAAGTCCAGCCAACCCCAAGTCAGTTAAGTACCATCCAGCTTAACCTAACCCAGCCCAATCCAGTCCAGTCCCCCTATCCTGCCCAGCTCAGTCAGCTCAGTTCAGTGCAGCCCAGCTCAGCCCATGCAGCCAGCCAGCATGCGTAGCATAGTGAATGCCAGCCCAATCCAGGGGCCTCAGTCCAGATCCCAGGGATAGTGGGCAGAGACAAGCAAGCCCCAACTAAGGGTAGTAGACTAAGAACCTGATACTTCCCTGGCCTGGGCAACAGGAGGGAGGCTTGGGCCCTCAGGGCAGGCACATACCTCTGGCCATGCTGGGCCATCTCTATGGCTCTCCGTGCAGGTACTGGGGAGCCACCATCTGTCACACTGAGCACTTCCATGGACTTGCGCTCAGGTCGCCTCTTGCCATGCCGGTTCAGCATCGGGGAGTCCACACGCTTCCGGGGAGGGTCTGTGTGAAGACTGGGGTCAGACTGGGGTAAGAGCCAGAAACGGGAGATGGGGTAGGGTGGAAGCTTTGTACCTATCTCATTCCTGGGGGGCAGGTCCTCATCCTCATGGCTGGGGTACCGTTCTTTCCGGTCCAGGAGGAGGAAATAAATCATCTTTTCCTGATTCTCCCTGCAGCAGGTAAGAGGTGCCAAGGATGTATATTTGGTGACATGGGTTTACCTGATAATGGCCTTGCAGGGACTCTACTCTGGCTATGGCCACCTACCTTAAGAGGATCCACAGGAACCAACCAGGCTGCCCCCTAGAGCAGCTAGACCTTGGGATGTGGAGCCTAGTGACTAAAGCACCCCTATCCCACCTCAACATACTCCTCAGACAGCAGGTCCTGCAGCAGCTTGTTGCGGTCTCGGAAGCAGCCCAGTGAGTGCATGCTATCCAGCACATCAGGGTCAATGTCTTCCAGGCTGGGCAGTGAGCGGATCTGCACCTTGCGTGGGATGGGCTGTTCCGGCTCTGGCTCATTCTTGCCGCCTCTGTGGACGACAGGGCACCCAGCAGCAGTCACTCATTTCTGGCCTATCTTGAAACCATTCCACCCACCCTGAAGTGGCCAGGAGGGTGGGAGATCCACCCTTACATTAGCCCAAGTCCTGATGCTGTCCCTGCACCCTGCCCTGCAAACCTCCTGCATCCTGTAACAGCCGCTCAGGGAGATAGAAAGTGAGGCTAGGGCAGCCCAGAGCTGGCTGGCACCCTCCCCCCCTTCCTAGCAGGCCCTGCAGGCCACAGCAACAGGCAAAGCAGGCGTTAGTGGGCAGAGAAGCTACTTACATATACCATATGTGTTTCTGAATGTGCTCTAGCTACAAGGAAAGAGAAACAGGGGGTTAGTACCAGGGGGAGCCCACGTTAGGAGGTAGGGGGCCAGAGTGGGAGAATAGGAGAAGGCAGGGCAGGGGCTGCATTCTCAGAGGCCCAGGCCAGCACCCCTACTCCTGCTCCCACCCCAGATGCAAAGGAAATAAAGCCAGGGAAGGAGAGGCTGGGGGACAGGGGTCCATGGAAAAGAGAGGCAAGGAAGCAAGCAGCGCCATGGGGGCACCTGTCCTGCCTGATTGGACCCTCCTAGATCAGAGGCATTATGTGAGGAACCAGTCCAGGGAGCAAAGCCAGGCGGCTGGGAGGGGCTGGGTGCAGGTGCGGGCAGGAGGCTGGGGTAACCCATTACATCTTTCTCTCCATCCTTACTCAGAGACAGGGATAACTTGTTTTGTGGGAGAGAGCAGATAATTTCTCTTCTAGAAAAGGTCAGCCCACCAGGCATCTTGCTTCTTTTACATGGGCAGATGCTGTATGCTCAAAACAAGCGCTGGGACTTCCCTCACACCTTTGTCTGCCCCACAGCTGATGGAGCTGTGAGGCTCACATTGCCAAGAGGCATACCACAAGGATGGCAGAGGGGCAAGATGGCAGCAAAGGAGGGCAAACCCTCCAGGGCTCACCTGAGCTCTCGTAGGCTCGGGGCTGCTACCTACCATACTTGTGCCCCTAAGATTTGGGCACAGGGCCCCTATGCCTGGGCATATACACAATTATGTACAGATTACACACACACACACACACACACGGGCACTCACATGCTGCTGCGCACAGCCACATACACACACTGCACATCTGTACCCACATACTGCTGTGTGTAGGTGAGATACACCTGAGGACTCCCCCTACACACAGCTGAGGACATGCTTCCCAAGCTGAGCATATACTGTCCTCATAGCAGCTGGCCACAGCGCCTCACACACACACACACACACACACACACACACGCACAGGTATCACACACATGTTGCCCAGTTGTGCAGTTTTTCCCACAGTTGGATACAAACTCTCCCCACACATACTTGGGCACACATGGTGGCATACACAGACTCACACTTGAGCTTATCCATCTGGTACAACACAGACTCACATCAATATGCATGTGCTATGTCTACAGCACACACTCAGACACAGGTGGGAAGCCCCGCCCTTCGGGACATTTTCCCCCTAAAGTGCCCAGGAGCAAGTGCCAGAGATGGATGCTTAAGATTCTACCAGTACAGGACTGTCTGAGGAGGACAGGTCCAGGAGATGGTGTTAAGGGACAACGAAAATGCACAAGGGACTGGCTCCCCATGGACACTCAAGTTCTGAGTAGAGCAGAGGGGCAGACAGGACGCACCGTGAGGCGCCGAGCTGCGTCCACCTCAATCATGCCACGCAGGAGACTCTGGCAGTCTGGCGGGATAAAGTGTGGCATGTGGAACACACCACGCTTGACCTTCTCCAGCAACTGCCGCAGGTTGTCATCATCAAAGGGCAGGGCCCCCTGTGGGTAGGCAGGACAGCACTCATCATGGGTAGTAGCATAAGAGGAGGGACGGGGGAGAGGATGTGGGGAGATAGGGGAATGGAACAAAAAGGTGAGGTGGGTGGGGCTCACCACCAGCAAGGCGAACAGGATCACACCACAGCTCCACACATCTGCCTTGCGGCCATCATACTTCTCGCCCTGTGGGAGGAGGGCAATGGCAGATGTTGGCAGTGTGCAGGGTAAGGGTATCTAGTGGGGGAGTGGGTCTGAGGGAAGACAGCTGAGCTGTGTCTAGCCCAGTGGTACAGGATGAGGGGCCCTTCCACCACAGGGACCCCAGTGATTGCTTACCCGAATCACTTCTGGACAGGCATAGTGTGGAGATCTAAGGGAAAATCAGAAGGTCAGGGGGCAGGAGGCCAGGGTATACAGCCCAGACCCTTATACCCTCCCTGAGGCTTTCTCCACAAGAGCTCTGCCCTAGGAAGCCTGCATGTGAGGTCCACAGGCCACTGCTGGGCTGGCTGGCTCCAGGAGGTTGAATGGGTTTGAGACCAAGTCCTTATAACCTAAATGCCCTATTCTCTTCTGATAGGGATGGAGGTCTGGAGCCTGGGGACTGCTCTGCTTAGACCTGGCTGCCAATCTATCCAGACCCAGGAGAGAAGGCTCAATGAAACTGTCTCCTGGCTCCCACCATGGAAAGAAGATGCTTGTGCCAGACAAAGCATCTCCATATGCTTACTATAAGGACAGGAGTCCTGCCTTCTGCCCTCAGTCCAGCTCTAGTGCTGTGAGAGCAACTACCTGGGCTTCCCACCAGAATGTCCTATAGCTCTTCAGCCACAGGCCACTAGTCTCAAAGCTTGTCCAGTCTGGGTAGAAGTGGCTGTGGTATCTATACCCCCAAGGGCCATGTCATGAGCCTGTGGGGCACCACTCACTCACCCACAGCTAGTCTCTAGCAGGCTGTCTCCCACCTGCAGGGATGCCATGCCAAAGTCTGCAATCCGGATGTTGTTCCTCTCATCCAGCAGCAGGTTCTCTGGCTTCAAGTCTCTATGGCTGGGGAGTAAGGGCCAGATGAGCCTAAATGCAGCCAGCACCCACTTCCCCACTCCCACGCTGATGAAGACTGCTCCTTCTTCCAAACTCCTGTCACAGGGGCAGGCCTGTGACAACCTAAGCATACAATATACAGGCAGCTAACACTAAGTGGTCTTCTTGGTCTTGGTGACAGGGATGCTGTGTCCTTCTGCCCTTGACAGGGAGGAAGCCAACATAGGCTCCTGGTTGTCTTTCAAGGCCTAGACAAAGCCCATAAGAAGCCCTCCACCCTTGAGATGCAGGCCTGACCCAGCCTGGCCTGGCTCGCACCATATGGAGTGGCTGTGACAGAAGTCCAGTGCAGAGATGATCTGCCGGAAGAACTTGCGGGCCTCCTTGGGGGTCAGTCGGCCCTTCTTCACCAGGTAGTCGAACAGCTCTCCCCCAGACACATGTTCTAGCACCAGGTATCTGTGGAATGGGGCAGGAGCCATCAGTGCCAACATCATGACTACCTAGTCAGAGAAGCCTCCTGCTGCCTAGTCAGAGAAGCCTCATGCAGGACCCAGAGTAAGGCCCCAAAGAGGGCCCACCTGCTGTGGCTCCTAGTGGCTCTCACACCAGGCAGCTAGGTCCCAGTGAAGATCATATGGACCCCCTGTAGCTGGGCGGTGGGTCAGGAAACCACAGAATGGAGTGAGGCTGATCCAGCAGAGCCTGGCATCTCCTTCCTGCCCAGTTTTATATCAGTCCCTTGGGGTCTTTGCTATACAGCAGAACCAGAGGGTATTGGTTTATAGGGGAAAGTGCAGGTCCCCTGGGAACTCAGCTGTATAATAAGACTCAAGAGGATATGTAGGCTACAGTCTGATGAGCTCAGACTGAACAAACTTTCAAGATAGATAAGGCCTCTGAGAAAGAACAAAGGGCAGCTAGTGACATAGTCAGGGGCCTTCTCATTTAGTAACAGGGATCAATAGTACTAGAAAGAAATCTAGGCTGGGTGGGGACCTGCTGACAGTAGTCAGCTGACCTGGGGTCCCAAGCCCAGTGATTAAGCCTTGTGGGATCTAGTAAAAATTAGGGAGGCAAAGCAGATCCTACAGAGCAACCATACTGCGACCAGCATTGGGGACACAGCGGGAGAGGCTAGCACTGCCTCAGGAGAGCCCCTCCCCAGTTCCCTTCTGACCATCACAGAGGTCTAGGATTATCAAAGCCCAGCCCCCAGACTCATGGAGGCTGGTGCCTCACTCATTGATTCCCCACTCTCACCACACATCTCAAAAGGGCAAAAATCAACTCTTCCTTCAGGCTGTTTCCTGTCAGATACGTGGTCACAGTAACTAACACAGTAGCCAGACTTACCCACTAGGCAGTGACCAAGCTACGTCACTCATGACCCAGCTCCCTGGCCTCCTAATGGCCCTGGAAAGCTATAGATCTACCCTCTTTCCAGACTGTCTTTCTGAGCCTTGGTCTCATTGGACAGTGGGAGTTGAGAGACTGATGTAGAGGTCCCACAGAGGGACTACTCAGTAGGGGTCAGTATTAGGAGGGAACAAGTACTACTGGCCCTAGACTCCAGATCTTCCTCCAGAGAAGCCCTTTCTTTTGTTGGCCTCAAGTTAACAGCCTGGAGATCCCCAGGAACACCAGCCACAGGTCTGAGAGCCCCTCAGCTGGATGGCAACACTAACACAGCCAGCTTTCCAAATGCAAGCATGCCTCGTAGCTCCCCTACCCCCTGGCCTCCCCCACTCTCCAGGCCCAGCAATACCTACAAATATTTTTTGTTTTCATAGACGTCATGCAGCTTCAGTACATGGGGATGCTCGATGAGCTTCAAGATGGCGATCTCTCGCTCCACCTGCAGAGAAACTATGTCACTGCCCGCAGCCAATCACAGCCCACTCAGATAGGCCTTGCCTAGGCTACCTGCATTGTCTCTATGGTTGTGGCACTGCACTTGGGGCTGAGCTGCATAGAAGGGATATCTGCAGCTTGGTCACCTGTCCCAGGAGGCCAGGGAAGAGCCAATGTCAGGACAAATGCTTTGGGCAGGAGTTCTGCATCAGTTGGCAGTAGGGACCAGGATAGAGCTGGAGGTGAGTGTTCTTGCTGCTCTATGTATATGTGTAGGGGGGCTGCAGTGCATGCACATGCAGGGTATGGGAACTGTGTGATAGGTCCTATGCAAGAGGACAGGGTCCTCTTCTACAGGCTACAGGCTATCACTATTCTTGAAAGGAAATATGGAGTCTGTTCTAGTGCCCCCTCCACGCCCAGGTCTGTTTCTGAGTTTAAGTCTAGAACTCTGATGAACATAGCTTTGCTCATAGCCACCTTGGCCCCACATGCACTGGCAAGGAGAAGCCACTACTCTGTGATAGGTACTAACTGTTCATAGGTCTCTCTGTCCCCAAAGTCCCAAAGCTATAGATCTGCCCTTTTCCCAGATGGTCTCACTGACTGGGCCTTATTGGACAGTGGGAGTTGAGAGACTGACACAGTGGTCCCACAGAGGAACTACTCAGTAGGGGTCAGTATTAGGAGGGAACAAGTACTATTGGCCCTAGACTCCAGATCTTCCTCCAGAGAAGCCCTTTCCATTGTTGGCCCATAGGTTATACCCATATGGTCCCATTTAGTACAATGCCCACAGTACTAAAACCCTGCCCCATATCTCAGGGACACTGTACCATGGAATATATCCAGCCAATCTGTCTCCAGTTCAAAACTGGTCAGTCCATCAGTGCCAAAAGTTCTCCACTTCACCCAAGCTGTTATCTTCCTTACAGTTGCTACCTACTTAAGTCGCTGAGCTTCACCACATCAGGAGCTGGAGCCTATCCAGCCCTCTCCAGAGCAGCTTGGTCCTGATAAGAGGGTTCTCAGAGGTCAGGGGCACTTCCTCATTCTAATCAGACCATGTTGGCAGCAGTAATACCACTGTCCATTGTGGACCTGTTCCCCAGGCTAGCAGGGTCAAGACACATGGAACCCTTCCTAGGATGGAATATCACAGAAGCCATGCTGGTATTACTCCAGCCAGAATAGACAGGACTTCATGGGTTCAACTGGGTTAGAGGTAGGAGAGAAGCCATCTATGTGAGTCCCAGATACCTAGGTCCATCCCTCCAGGTGGTGACCCTTCCAACCTCAGCCCACTGCCTCACCTTCATCAGCACCGACTCACTGAGCTTCTCACGGTTGACGATTTTGATGGCGACCTTCTGGCAGGTGACACAGTGGATTCCCAGCTTTACCAAGCCTGTAGAAGAGAGGCCAGACTCAGCCCCAGCACTACATCATGACCACCTGTGGTGGGCTGAATATGTTTGGCCGCCATAGACTCGTGCGTTTGAATGCTTGGCCCATGGGGAGTCCTACTATTAGAAGGTGTGACCTTGTTGAAGGAAGTGTGTCACTGTGTAGGTGGGTTTTAAGGTCTCCTCCTATATTTAGGCTCCTCTCAGTGTAGACAAGACCCTCCTCCTGGCTGCCTGCAGAAGACAGACTTCTCCTGGTTGCCTCAGGATCAAGATGTAGAACTCTTGGCTCCTCCAGTACTGAGTCTGCCTGATGCTGCCATGCTTTCCACCATGATGATAATGGACTAAACCTCTGAAACTGTGAGCCAGCTTCAATTAAATGTTTGCCTTTATAAGAACTGCCTTGATCATCATGTCTCTTCACAGCAATAAAACCCCAAGACACCACCCTAGATAGCAGGGACCTCATCCTCACTTGAGAGCTCTGCATCTTGATTTGCAATTCCCAAGCTGTTCAGACCCTGGCCATTGACCACCTTGCTCACTGATCAGAATGGGTCCATGGAAGAGTGGCTTGCTGCACCAAAACCAGATCCCTCCTGAAACCTGAGGTCTTCATTTACCCTTGACCCTCTCCCAGGTAACCAGAGTCCTTCCTCTAAGCCAAGTGCATCTCCAGTTGAAGAGGCAACATGCTCTGGGTCCAGAGCCACTCTGCCCTCCAACACAATCTTACTCAAGACCCTTCAGCTGTAGACCTCTACAGGGGTTGTATTCTGTACCCCAGCACCCTCTCATTCCCAGCCCCTGAACACGTCCCACATGGAGGAGTCTAGCTTGAGGCTAGTGCCTGAAGCTGGAGGAGGTTCGAGTGTCCAGCATGAAACATATGGGTTGGGTGCTAGGCAGGCTGGAGGAGGTAGCAGGGGTCCTCTCTGGGATCCATGACGACCAATGGGAAGCAAAGCTAGACCAAGTTCACCGGCCACGAGGCAGACACTGCTCTTTCCAACTCAGGGTGAGCCTAGATATTGTCCCAGCAGAATGAGGCATAACAGAAGACATGAGAACAGTGCAGGGCAAAATCAGTGGAAAGGTAGGGTAGGGCTAAGAGAAACATTTCCCACATGGGACATTATTTCCCTCCTCTACAAAAGATCCATTCACCAACCAAATCAAAGAGATATTGTAGCTTGAAAAGAAAACACATACATGCATGCACACACTCTCACACACACAAACATACACAGACATGTGTGTATGTGCATGTGTATGTACATATACATGCACATGACAGTATTACACACATTGGCCAAAAAAATGAACATAAAGATAAGTGTGTGGAAAGACAGTTCACATTTTGATTAAGATGACAAGAGAGATGTGGTTTCAGAACCCAGTTGGAGCTTGGACCTGGGTAACTAAGTGCAAAGCTGAGTTTTCATGATGAGGAAAGTCCAGGCTGCCTGCCATGTGAGAGCCCTAGCTGAGACGTAGCCACAGTGGAGCATCTTAGCCAGGGAAGCAATCTTTGAGGCCTGGCACAGGCACTGGTACCTCTTGCTGGCTGTCTTTGATGCAGCATGAATGTTCGTGATTCCTGCTCAGACCAGGAGAACGAGAACTAGCCAGGAGGGCAAGGGTCCTAGTAATCTACAATCCATGATTCAGTAACCACATGGGTTGTGGCATTGGACTAAGATACAAGTTCATCTGCACTTGGTCAGACAGCTCATAGGAGTTGGTAAAACCATCCAGTTCATGAAATGAGACTGGAGGTACAAAAGAAATGGGGAAGGACAGAATGACAAGGGATAGAAGCCTCTGGCCCAGGAGGCAGGGCTCCTACACACCTGTAAGACCCAGTTACATAAGGATGAGAGCACCAGAAACAATGTATCCCCTCGAAAGATCCCAGAGAGCAAAAACCCAGGCTCTTCCCAAGGATGACATAAGAGCAGGGCTGGCAGGTAGGAAGAGGCATGGCAAGCATCCTCAAATGTGTTCCAGGCAGGTTGTGTTCCAGGCAGGTAGGCCCAGCTTTTCAGCTTACTGTATGTCTCAGCATGTGAGGGACAGGAACACTGGAGTTTCTTGGCAGGAACATGAAGAGTTCCATATGTCATCACAGTTCAGCAGGCAAGCATACCTTGTAGCCATTAAACCAACAGTGCAGCCGAACCACGAGCTGCTTACTGACTGACCTCCCAGGACATGCAGGGCCCTGGCAGAGATGGCACATGTCTCATGTCCTCTCTCTTATGTTCACAGTATAGTCATACTCACTCTTATATGGCTGTATGCATACCCATATCCCAACACTGCACGTATGCATATCCATATACATATTATCTGCAGGCCTAGGTAGTCACTCTCACGAACCAGTGGCATACACATTCAACCTCACATGTATGTGCACATACATCAAAACACTCACATCTCACCTATGTGCATGCCCCATGTACTCACCCTCTCATGGATGCGTACACATACTCCCCACTCAATCCCACATGCGTGTATTCATGTTCATGTGTACTCTGCAGCCTGTACATGGTCTCAGGCATAAGAGGCATGTAGAAAAATGTTGTCCTGCCTCAGGAACTGCGAGTAAATGGTACGAAACTGGGATAGGCTGCCAGTATCAATGGGACAATTTCCCAGGACATCGCTGCCATCTCCATCCAGTGTGACTTCCAAAGTCTGTCGAGCATAGCTGTGTATCAGGCACTGCCTTGTGCCCCACCTTAGAGGTGAGGGGAAACTGGAGTTATGGCGTCTACCTATCTGGCTTCTAAAAAGCCAAGAAGACATAGGGCCACCAGAACAAGGTACCCTGAGCACAAGCCTTCTCTAGAGGCTTCCTGGGAATAGAGGATCATGACCCCTGCTCAGGGGAATGAGTGGCTCTAGACACAGCATGGCTAAAGTGTAAGGGAGCCAGCTGGACCCCTCCCTTCACCTTCTGCCACTTGTTTCCGGTGTGCACAGAGGGCCCGTTTCCCAGCAACATACCTTGAACATTCCTACATACCTTACATAGCCCAGCATGGCAATACTTCTCCTTGGTAAAGCTCTCCTAATATTCTAGGCCACTCCCTCTCTACTCCATTCGATAAAATGGGATCCTGCCTCAGGAACAGGGGACAATGGGGGGTCTTCTGATTCTGCCCATTCTGTTTGACAGGGAGTGGGGAGTGTGCCCTATGCAGCCCCGCCACTTGCCCTGCAACCTCAGGGACAGGCGGCTTTCTGGCGGGAAGCCCACAGTCACCCCTTATTACCCAGCCCTCTAACTCGCTGGGGCTTATTTTCCAATTGTGATTTTATCCCTAATTATTGTCTTCACACAGATGCAGCTTCACATAGAAGGGGAAAGTATACCATGTCACAGATAATTACATGGGACCCTGCCAGGGCGGGGCTGAGCTGGAAGTGTGAGGAGCCACCAGCTCCAACTGTGTACTGAGTCTGTGTAGGGCAGCAGCAGACTCAAGGGTACTGGGGCTTCCACGTCTCTAAGGAGGGCCCAGGCTCCCAGAAGTGACTGATATGCGTGTGACGGTCCCAGCCCCTTCCAGGGCTACTCCCACTACAAGCACTGGAGCTTCTGAGCCCGACTAGAAAATCAGAGGTGGTAGGCAGGTGAGCAACTACAGCTGGCTAACTCAGGCATCAGGCAGGCGCTGACTGGACACTCACCTGCCCAGAGAGCATAGGATGTCTGGGTTCTGAGCAATACTGACCCTCACTAGAGGTAGAGACTGAATGGTGTACCAGAGTGAGAGCAACAGAATGACCTTCCAAATAACACCTGTCCTCCACCCAGCTAAAAAGAACTGGGGCAGGGTACTGCCATGTGGGCTGGGCACTTTCTAGGGTGTGTGGTCTACTAGCTTGGCACACTGCTCTGCCCTCTGGACACTAGTGACCCCCAAAGGATTACTGCCTCAGTCAGGGAGAGGAAGGAATGAGCCTAACTGGATCAAGCCAGATGATCTCCAAGGATACCCCAGGGATACCTTTGGGCAGTGGGGATGCAAGAGGATAGAGCCACCATCTGAGAGGCAGATTTGGCTCCCTATGAACTTGCAGGAGTCCTTGACTGATGACCAAGTGCCTAGACACAGACTAAGAGCCAGTGCCACTTCCCTCCTGCCCTGCCATTGCTGGCCTGTCTTAGAGGTAATGACCTCTGAACACCCTAGCTGGGGTTCACTGAGCCCTGGGATCATGAGTGCAAAGGTCAGAAAGCTCTGTTCCCACTGTCCATTGATAACAAACAAGGATGGTCTGGTGCTGTTCTGTGGTTTGAGCAGCATACCCTAGTTAGGTGACAATACCAGCATTGAGGAGGGCCTTTTGTAGCCCTCAGCACCAAAGGCCATGACCATGGATTGGAGGGGTAGAGGTGGCACTCCAGAGATGTCCTATCCTGAGATATACCGAGTGTCCACTTGGGTGAGAGCACAAGCCATAGATGCAGCATATGCTTGCACGTCTCACAACTGCTGTCCAGCTCAAAGTGATTATCAGGCAGAGCTCAGGGCTGCATCACACACCCCACTGGATCCCAAGCACAATATTTCTGCAGAGGCATCAGGTCAATTGGGAGACCACAATCCACATATAACTTCCTGTTGCCAGTTCCTTCCCTCGGTCTTTCCACACCTGGCCAGGGTGCCCCAGGTCACCCAGTGCCTCCTCCCAAGACTGTGGACACCCCCAGGATTCTTAACAGGGAGGTGTGGGCTATATCTACTTGCACTCACATTTTTCAGGCCCTGAAGCCTCCAGTGTCCCAGGGTCTCCTGGTGTACCAAGCCCTCAACCAATCCACGCTCGGGGCTAAGCTCACCAGCCCAGCTCCCCTCAATGAAGGACACTGGTCTCTCTAAGCCACTCTTCTTACCAAGCCAAGATATGGCCTGTCTGCAGCATCCTGAGAGGAACAGTGACCACCAACCCTTCCTACAGGGTCAGCCCAGGCCTTCCCACTCAT